AAACAATTAAGCATAATTTGGTCGCAAGTATGAGTGTATTTTCTATTTCAGGAAAATTTGTGAGTGAAGTACACGTCTAAGTAGCAATTCGATAGACGTTCTCAGTTTTTTGAAATCATATTTTATTAAACAAAAAAACAATTAGCATGTTTAAAATTAATTAATTAAAATTGCTCGGAATTGACAATACCCGAGTTTAGCTTAATTGTTTTTAAAACTAAAATTGATATTGACAAGTATGCATCAACATGTATCTAATATTTTTTTATTTTATTTTTAATTTAATGAATGTTTTTTTATTTAAAAATGTATTATTTTTATTTATTCGAAAACTTTCCTTTCACTATCATAAAAATATTTTCATTCTTATATGTGAAAATGATGCATGAATAACCAATAATTATTTTCAAAGTTACTTAATCAAGATAAGTTATTATTTTTTTTGTTCTGCTAATTAAAATTAAAATAATTTTGTTTACTATCCATGAAATTGAACAATAATTAAATTCAGTTAAATACTGCTCTAAATCACACTAAATTTGCGGATAAATTACAGAATATTCGAGCAAAAATTTATTTTCTATATAAAATTCGAAAACCGGCTAAAACCGGTTTTTTAGTAAAACTAAAATTCGAAAACCGATTTTCTGAAATGTCGGTTTCTGTATAAACCCTATATATAACCGACGTAGTTAGTTATATTAAATCATCACAACAGTTTATAGAACGCTTAAGTTATGACTGCTGTTTCAATAAAAATGTATCACTAATTTTTTAACTATAGTGAATTACTTATAATGTATTTAAGTTGAATAAATATAAAGTTAATAGTATAATCGAAATGTTGTATTTTAATTGAACTTCAATAATAAAATGTAATGACTATAAAAACTAACGTTTGAATATACAACTCAAATAAAGTGTTGACGGAAAAAAATATAAAAATAAGTACATTGAACGTACCTATAAAAACATAACGACCGTAAATTTTAACATTTCTGATGAAGACTTTGTTAGTGATCGTATTAAGCTGCAGGGATTTCACGACTGTGGATTTAACTATAGGAGATTTTTTTAATGTGAGAGTTGGTAATAATATCAGCAACATAAAAAAGATGCTCAGAGTTGTTCAAATTTTTAAATGGATATATAGACAACACATATACAAAATAGATAATCTTTTGTGTATGCCCAGTACAACAAGATGAGTCTTATTAAATGTATTCTGATAATTATACAACACATTCATGTACATCAGTTCAACGACTTCAAAACAATGTAAAGACCGACATTTTATCATTAAGAAAAATATTAGGCACAGAACAGAAATTCGTAATTCATAGTAATAAAAGGAAAGTTTACAGTACTGAATATTATGCTAATTATAAAAAAATAACAAAAGTTGGCTTTTTGGTGATCTAAATTGAGTAGGTATCAAAATATCGGACTCTTGTGATAGTTTTCATAATATGCATAAAAAATGTTGAGTTCAATTCGATACTTAATTTTACTAATTTTGTACATGTTTAAAGAACTCAAATTCAAATATTAGTTTGAAGGTACAGTAGTGCAGAGCAGGGCACACAGTCCAATTTGACTTTCAGGAATCATATTGTGAAAACCAAACAAATTTCATCATAATAATTTTTTTTTGTCAATCAAAACTTTATTAAAGTTTTATAATACAAAATTGTTGAGGTTTAATCACAACAAATGCCACATATCAAACAACTGACTGACTGTTTCATTGTTGAAGAAATCTTTTTTTGCTATGTTTTCAAAAATTTTCACCTGCGCCCTGCGGGGTAAAAAGGACAGCCAGGGCACAAAAAGGTTCATTTATTTTATTGGTAATTTTGAAGAGGTTTTGAGTAATAATAGCTACTTTATTCAACCAATGCATATTTTATTTAATCGCACTGCATAAATTTGTTGTATGAAACATTGTCAGAAGAATTCATCATTAGAGGAATAACCATTAATATAACTCATCTTAAACTACCTTTTTACTACGTTTATGTGGTCTTTTTTACCCCAACTGCATGTAAGCTATTCTAGAGGTTTATAAATAATGTTGAATCTAAATTAAACAATATATTTTATAAAACATATACTTGATTAACCCTTTGAGTACTGAGGTAATTTCTGCATACGTTGCACAAATGGCATAAAGATATTTGGATCTGGTTGATGTTATCTTGGGAACTTTTTGCTTCTAGCCAATTTTTATCTTCCCGTAGAGTAAGTTATTGTAATCATCGAAAAATCAAAATTGTAAATGTGTGCATATCTTCACATTTCGAAGGTTTCTGATCATTTTGGTATAACTTAGAAAAATTGCATGTGTGTGTACGTGTAAATACAATTTTTCGTCGGAGTTTTCGGGAGCATCACTCAACCGACTTGAATTATTCAAAAAGCATTCCATCCATACAGGTGGGGAGACGAGCTGATTAGTTTATGTCAAAGACAGGTCTAGTAGTTTTGGAGATACTATTTTTCCGAAATGTTAAATTACTTTTTCTCAATAGTAGTACTATTGAGCTGCAATACCGACGCTCCTCACTTCATACTCATTTATATCGCGCCGATATATCGATGGTTAGCGCTGAAAAGGTTAAATAAAGTATTTTTATCGTAAACTTAATAATTGCACTTAAAAACAAAATGACTAACAACAACAAAAAATACTTATATTAAAACATTCACTCCTGATTTCGATGTCGTCCCATTTAAGGCTATGACTAGTTACACATCAACATTTCCTCTACTTCAGAATAGAACCGATAAATAATGCCACACTTTGCTTGTTTTTGAGATAATGGTGGTGGACTATTTTCTCACAAACCTTTCAGATTTACCTTAATATTTTTATAAGTTTTCCGCTTATTTCTCGAAATTCCATCCGCCCAGATGTCCGTCTATCGCACCAACACAAGTAGGGTTCCGGACCAACAGGCGTCGTCCTCGTTCTCATATCAGTACAGCGTTGCTCTCACCCACACGGCGCTTATTTAATTACATCATAAAATCCGCAGTTTAACTTGAGACTTTATGGATTTATCGGGCTAAAGTTATGCCACGAAGATTGGGCTCTAATTTTACTCAAGGAGAATGGAGTGGGTAGAAAAGAAACCGGGATATTGAAGAAAAATGCATTTATAATGATCAGCGCAGGAAGTCGGTAAATCGTTGGAATTAAAATGAAATTAATACTTAAATATTAATTATTTATTAACTTATTATGAAGTCACAAATAATATAGACATACTATTGCTCAGGGTCCTATCAAGTATATATCTATAATAATAGGTGGATTGTTTCCTCTTGAAATTAAAATAAAACCCTGAAAAGAAATGGTAGTCTTTTTTTATATTTTGTATTTTAATTACAATCTGTCACACTTAGGACATTCAGTTAATGTTTTGACTCTTCTTATTATATGAATCTTGAATGGGAGGCAACCCAGTAGTTGTCCAGTCCAGTTATGACTAATTATCTATACTCGAAGTATTTGCTGTCATTTTTATTATATATGCAACTATACCCACTAGAGGCGACCTTCACTTGAGGCTATATTTGAGCTCTATAACCTGAAGTAGAAATTTGACATCAAAGTTGCCTGATGTCAGACTTGGCGGTAGCGGGAATCGAACCAGCGAACCCGGGACTATTTAGTGCTTGCCCACGTTAGAAATGATAGTCAAATGATATAATATAGGAGAGCTAGGGGCTTGATGTAACAGTTTTTATAAAGTAATATATTTCGAGATCTACTGAATACATTTGTACGAAATAAAGATGAATATTTGATACTATTATTCTACCAAATAAAATAAAACTAATTCAACAACTGTTGTTCATTATTTTACAATTAATCGTTCTCTACAAGAAGTGCGATGTCACAATTCTAACAATTACCGGGGCAAGAAGTAAAGACGAATAATTGCAATAATACCCCTGAAAATTTATTACTTACTTACTTTTGAGAAAATTTACTCGTTTCTAAATAATTCTTTCTATAAATCAACACAAACTATAATTAATACAAATAACATATTTTCTATAATAAAATTTTGTATCATAAATCAATGTGAACTACAATTATCATAATACAAATAAAAGATATAGTGTCTTCTGTGATAAAATTTAAATTTGCCCACATCTTAAAAACTATAAATTCCACCCGATCTTCAAAGTTTTGTTTCAACTAACCACAGGTGTGATGTTTTTTACATTATTCGAGATATTATTTATTTGAACAGTATAGCAAGCACAAAACTTGTTACACATGATCAAAAATTGATAAATTTGAAACGAAATGAAATATATAAAATTTGAAATTAGTCGATAATTGTAACTCAAACCGAAATATTATGACAGATTAATTTTATTTCATCCGCATTCCCTAACACCGAATATTTAACACTTTATGGTATGGTCAAATTTATTCTCAAACCAAAAATCAATTCAACGGTAAACATTTGTAGACAATTAATTGTAAACAACTTGTCAGCATTCTCTGCTAAATGTAATTATTTTTATAGATTGCAGAATAAAAATGAAACTAAAAAATAAAAAAGGGTGAAAATATTTCAGAAAATATAGAAAAAAATTGTATAAATCAAACGAATTATACACTCACCTTGCTTTTTTAGCAAACTGATTTTTTAAATAATTTGAAGGTGATTATGACATCAACTCTTTCAAAAGTTTACACCTTTATAACAGAACAATAGTCTTTTATATCTTTAGTCAATTTTGACAGAAAGAATCTAAGTTTTTATTGATTTTTGCTTACAGAGGTAGCTTCGTCTTCGACAGTAAATTAATACATTCAGATCAGTATATTCCATTTGGCGATATTGAAACCTATATTTTTATTTGGTATAAATGCAATAATTAAATATTAATATTTTAATATGATTTTATAATATTAATATTTTAATAATATATTTCATGACAATTCTTAAGTAACTTTGTTCATTAATTATTTGCAGGTCACGCGTTTCAGCCAGAATTCGCGGAACCAATTGTGAATTTAACTGTCGCCGTGGGACGAGACGCCACCTTCAGGTGTCTTGTACTGCATTTGGGAGGATATAGGGTGAGCTGAAAAAAAATTATTATATTATATTTTAAGAAAGCAATGTGTACATTAACCTTTTCATATCACGCGCCTACTTTATCTTCACAACTAATTAATTTATATCACAAATAATAATGGGTACTTTATCCGAGGACAAGTCCGAGAGATGAGTTGAACAGTAACTTGATTCAGAGAACAGCCACATTTTTCAGTCAAATTGAATACGTTATTTTTAATTAAAAACATATTCTTAGTCAATATTTTAACGTTTTATAAAACGAGAGTTTTAGCCTAATAAATTTGAAATTCAAGTAAAATTGAAAATATAACATTCGGAAAAAGGCAAAATAATAATAGAATGAATTATGAATCTCGGTCAGTTCATTAAAAATATTAACTTTACATTTGGGGTTTGTTTGCTATGTATATATATATATAACTACATAACTATTTGTGATAATTCCAATAAAGATTTAAAAAATCCTTGCAAATCGCACAAGCTGTGTTTTTAATTAGACATCGTCGAGAAAAAATTCCGATATTCTGTACTTCGTCTAATGAAAGTTAATTTAAGGAATCGATACCAATTCAATTGGAGATCCCGTCTAGTCTTGTTCAAATAATTGTCCTGTATTCAGGATCTGTCTTGGATTTGTTTGTTCAGTTCATTATGAAACACTGCAGCATCTGGAAATAAATCGATGGTCTAAAGTTTTAAAGAAAAAAAACTTTTGCTTTTGTACAAATAAGGAGCAGGTTTAAATATATTGAATTAATGATTATAAGCGTCAGTTTTTTATGTCATTTACCTTTTTGGATATCTCAAACCCAAAACTTGTTTATTACTATATTTAGTTTTACCGTACAAAAATACATGTTAAAACAAACTGTCAAAAAAAACTGTCTTAGCCGTTTGATCGAGCGTTTCGCATATAAAAACGGCCAAGGGTTAAATATTTTACTATATATATTAAAATATTCTATAAAAAATTCTTTAATAATTAACGTATTAATAATAATACATCAACGTATTTTTTGGGTCTGTCACTTTATTATTTCACTTGTTATTATATACTAAACCATACTAAAATTTTTTTTTTCAATTTTTTATCTCCACATTGCAATGATAAAAAAGATTATTTTTGGCCAGTAATTTTTTTAAAAATGTGTACCTACATTCGGCGCTTAATTTTAAAAATCCATTAAAGTTTGAAATCAAATAATAAACCAATTAGGCCAATATAAGATCTTAAATTCAGGTTCGTATGATTTATAAAGTTATATATTGAGCATTTGTTTAAAGAAAATTACAACAAAACCATCTTTTTGATAACTGTTTCGGCAAAACAGCAATGCAGATAATGCCCTTCAATAGTACGATCGTATATCTTTCATATGACTATAGTCGAGAGTGGTAATAATTAAAGCCCTTTCTGCATAATTAACTATTAAAAGAAGAAGAATGTGAACATTATCAGTTAAGACATGATTATATATGCAACAACAACCTTGGAAACCTTGTTGTTCCAATTTCATTTATATATCGGATCTTTTTTGCGACTTATTTTAAAGTTAAATGCCATTTACATCTAGTTTCTGTAAAACTCGCTACGTTAAAAGATAGACTAGGGTCTTAAATTAAAAAAAATGAGCCACAAAGTTGAATAGTCCAAGAATGTCAAATACATTGGAGTGACCTTGGACCATAGACTCACCTTTGCCAAACATATCAACATCAAAACTAGACAGACGTTCGGGATGGAAAATATGCTGGGACACCTCTTGGATCATAACTGCCCGCTGAGCGTGAAGAACAAGCGGACACTTTACTTGACATTGATACGACCAATACTGTTGTACTCCGCTACAGCATGGAACGCGACAACAAATCATAACTACTAGAAAACAAAGCTTTACGACTAGTTCTCAACAAATCAATTTTATAACAGTGCTGACAGATACAAGATTATATGGAGCTCTTTATATTTACATCAAATCAAATAATATAAAATTATGAATGCAATATACATAAAACAATGATATATATGTTAGAGATAGTGTAGATATTATGTAATTTAGTATATGGCTAATGTACCAGTTTATAAAGCCAATAAAATAATAAAAAAAAAAAAAACAAATCAAGGAACCCACTGACGAGATACTATTATAATACAAAACACATACATAAACAGACTGACGTACCGATAGTACTCGACCAAATAAATAAGCTCACTGGTAACTTTTATCTCAAATGTAGAGATCACCTTAATAGTAACATCCAAGCTCTTGGCCAATATACCCCAGAAATAGTTTGGTGTGTCAAACACGCAGTGCCGAACTTTTTTCTGATCGACCCATGGCAGCCAATAGAACAAAATGAAATTATTACAAATGTTGTTTAAGTAATTCTTCTTTATTTTATATTTTTGAGAGAATTTTTGTAACTTAAAATTATTTCTTATTTACTGAGGTGTGTAATGTTTTTTTCTAATATTGCACCTTATTGCAATTACCATAAGCACCCCTTGTCCTAACATTGTACATTTGAAATTTCATATCATAAGCGCAGTACTGGTATTTGAGGTCAATGCGTCTGTGAATCTGTGGGTCTACGGGTCTGTGGGTTTGTGGGTATAATATTGTAGCGATCGGAAATCGCCTATCACGTGCCACGGGACCATTCTCAACAAACAAGAGAACTAACGAGCCAATTGACGTGAGTGCGCCATGTCATTACTGGTAGCCAGCACACAGAACGTCGCTCGTTTGCTCGCATCGCATCGCGTCGCCTGGAGTTAGCGGCCGAGCCGACATCTGCCGTATCAGGACTGAATTCAAATTAATGGGAATCGGAGGCGGAGACGGACGCACGCTTCATCTCGTACAAGTAATGCAAAATTTGCACATACCTTCTTAATGCTGATGCAACCCAGAAGAAGTAGTCATCATAGCCTTTGCACAGCGATTCATGTTTCTTTAGAAAATTGTCGGGTTGACTCATAGCGTTTCCTTCTAGTTACTAACATGCAAGTACTCTTTCATGTTGAGACGCGATTGTTATTCTTTACACAAATATAGTTTTTGTGTTTTTATCAGAATTAAATTATTACTTTAAAATAAATGTATGGAAGACTAGGTACGGTTGTGCCAGGGTACAACGATAGTGACAGTCGCCATAACAACTAAACTATACTAATTTTAAAAAAGGGCCCAAAAGGAGAAAGATGGCGTTATTTATGCTTGTTTGGGCCAGCGGTGGCGATATCGGTTAGAGCGTGGGCTAGCACCAACTAGACCCAGGTTCGCTGGTTCGATTCCCGCTACCGCCAAGCCTGACATCAGGCAACTTTGATGTCAAATTTCCACTTGGGGTTATAGATCACAATATAATTCCAAGTGTAAATCGTCCTTCGTGGACATAGTTGCATCATACAATCATATGATGCTATTAGACATAAGAGCTAATATATATAAAAAACCCCACACATAGGAGAAGGATGAACCGATGGGTTGCTTCTCATATCAATACCTTAGGTCATAAGTCATACACAAAAACAGCTTATAGAACAATAATAAAGAGTTCGGATTGCTGTGGAAACAATAAAATAAAAAATATATATATATGCTTGTTTATCTATGGATGTAGTATATTTGTTTGAACAAATTTACATTATTACTTTCAGTCAGTGCCCTACATTGATCAAATGAATGATCTGTAGACCGCATTGCTTTTGAAGAGTCAAAAGTAAATTTCTTTGTGCGATTTTTTAATTAATTAGTAGAAAATTAGTAGTTAATTATAAGCAATTAGATTCTGCGTAAATAATTTAGCTCAGATATAATAATAATATGTTTTCAAAAGTGTGCTTTGGGTACGGTTGTGACAAATTTTGTGGGAACGGTTCTCGTTTTTTTTCGGGTGAGGATCGTGTCTTAAGGTAAATTACTTGAACTTTCCGATTACAACTTACTCTATGGGAAGTTATAAAGTTCAAAGTTTTTTAAAGTTATTCAAAAAAATTTAAAGATATTAAATTCAAAATTAAATATTTTTTCCAAAAATTTCAAACCCTCAAATACCTAATACTGTTTCTAAGTTTCAAATATCTAACTTTGCGGTACGGCACGGTTAACTCAATGCTCCACCGGTTAATGCAGTAAATCAAAATAATTGTCACATAAATCAATCACTTTTATCAATTTACTTACCTTTTCTGCAAATATATAAACATGCATTTGCAATCATAGTAGAAAATTTTATATCAATGTCAGAATCTCTGTAACTATTATCTACTCAATGATTCTTCGATGATGAATGTCGTGCCGGCGTCCCGCGGAGACGTAAATCTCCCTCGCCATGCGAATGCGTCCGGTTCGTCCCCGTGCGCTCGTATCGGGCGCGAAGTTGGTCAGTTAGATAATCTCTTTATTAGAGTCGGCCCAGTAAATCATGTCACAGCCGCCGCCTGGACCATGGACGTAATTCATCGCTTTCCGATGCCGTGGATTGTCGGCACATGGAATGGTTAGTGACGTACACATGTGTAAATTGCCAAGTCGCAGCAATTAATTTCTAACTCTACTAGAACAGAACTTCATCACATCGTGTTCGTCCACAGTACACAAGTTCTCGTGTCGGATCTGGCGATGGTTTTACTGTACCAAATTTTGGTTGAAGGGACAATGATGTGTTCGATATTGGATGTCATGAATTATTATTTGTTAAAATAATTATATTTAGTGCTCCACTGGAACGATTGTGGAATTGCACTGAACTATAAGATCGATGTTTAAACTATTTTGAAAGTATAATCAATTTATAGATTGTCAACTACTGAGTTCTTTTTTCCAACATGCCAATGTAGTATACAATGTCCCTTTTCGGCGGACTATTGCAAATTCATTAAATTTACTGAATGTCCTTTACTAGACAGTTGTAAATAAAAGAGTTAATAAAAAAATATAGATTGCATTAGTGTTTTTAATTTAACCATATATAGTACCACGAATACAAATAC